CTTTTCTGGACACTCCACTCAAAGCGCTTTACAGGTAATGGGGACTCCCCTCCACCACCACCAATGTGCAGCATCCACCTGGATGATGCGACTGCAGCCATAGTGCACCAGAACACTCACCACACATCAGCTATCAGTGGGGAGGAGAGCAGAGTAATGAAGCCAATTCTTAGATAGGGATTATTATTAAAAATGGGAAATTTGGCCAGGACACCGGGGTTACACCCCTACTCTTTTCGAGAAACACCTTGGGATTTTTATTGACCACAGAGAGTCAGGACCTTGGTTTTATGTCTCATCCGAAGGACGGTGCCTGTTTACAGTATAGTGTCCCCGTCACTATACTGGGGGATTAGGACCCACATAGACTGCAGGGTGAGCGCCCACTGCTGGCCCCACTAACACCTCTTCCAGCAGCAACCTTAAGTTAGTACTGCAAAACTTAATGCTGTAGGCATTAACAGATTTCAAGTTTCAACATTACATATCGACCTGGAAAAGTCGAAGCAGGCATGCATTCTCGATGCTCCCTAGACATAAATAAGTATGTCACAAAGTTTACAGAGGAGCTGCCAGCTGATGTGGTCCAAGCAGTACGGATAGGAAGCCATGTCACTAAAATGAAGGAAATCTCTTGGATTGCAGATATTTATATGTTATCACAAAGTAGAACTGAAGAGCACTTCACTCTTCAGTTCACTCTAGCTGGTGACAGCAATCAACTCAGTAGATTTGAGAACAGCCCAAAGAGAAGATCCTACTATTCGGGAAAGAATTCAGGTGAAATAGATAAATAGAATATTGACCAGCGAAGCAAGAAAAAGAGTGAATGCCACTTCTAAAAAACAAGCATGGCTAACAAGCTCACTTCATCTACTAGGGCGAACAGGTTAACATCAATGAAAGGGGAGCTGGGGGAGCTGGGTATAGAAACTGGCTATGAACTACATCTGAGGGCAGATGGGGTCTCCTAAGTGGCATAAATGGATAAGGCACCTGCCTTAGTTCAGGCTGAGCTCTGTGACCAGGATTCCCCAAGCAGGGGCACACAATGTGCCGAGTGCTGTCAAGGGTAGGGTGGGATTACTGTGCCATGGCTCTTGCAGCAACACAGAGACCCCCTGAGGCCTAAGGGACCCGTCTCTCCCCCAGCTGGCTTTGATTCTCTGTTACAGGGTCGGAGCTGCCCGTTAATGTTCCAACTGGCTGGAAGGTGGGTGGGAGGAGCAGTCTGCCTGCACTTCCTCATTTTTCTTTCCGTTACCTTGAACCTGGAATGAGCCTGTATCTGTTCCTTTGCAGCCTATACATGCTGACACAGCTTCCTACTTGACAGTCTTCTGTTAAGAGTTTACTACAGCAAAGCTACACATTGCCAAACAGTGGTATGATAAGTAGCAAGATACTTCAACAGTGTTAACAATGGCTAGAAGAAAAACAATTTTCTCTGCTCTACTTAAATTCTACAGAAATTGGTTAATCAAGATATCAGCAACTTTATACCCTGTTCTGACAATAACAGACGGTACTTCTTGAGTGACACAAGTCACTAAAAAGGAGCAGAGAGTAACAAATCTAGAGATTATTGGTGGGATAGTAAAATGGCCTGAATACATCACACAAGTTAGCTTGTAAGGTCACATGAGAACCACTCCTGAGTACTCACCCCTCAAACTTGTCCCCTGTTGTCTCCCCTGCATACTCATGTTGCTTCTCCAGGTTCTCATCCTGCTCGCTGCTGCCCTCCTTCGATAGAGGCCCGTCACTGCCAAGCTTCTTCAAACCACACGTGGCCCAGCTAGACATACGCTGGAAGGCTCTGAAATCCTGGGCACTCAGCCCCAAACCTATGAAAAACTCCCTGCCAACATAGTGCCTCCAGTTGCATCGATGATGGCAGCACAGAGCTATGGCCAGCCCTGAGACCTGAAGCGGTGTGCTGCTTTCTGAGCTTCCTCCCACACTCTCTGCATCTGACGGATCAGACTTCAGGCGCTTCTGTGGTGGCCCTGCCTCCTCCGAGTCCCCACTGGAGCAACAGCTCTCTACCAGACACCTCAAAGCCAGGTCTGCAGAGAGCAGAGCAGACAGCACTGTGTGAGACTTTAAAGATAACACGAGTAGGAAAATTAGAATTTTTTGTTTCACAGCAGAATTTCCTCTACATTTTCTGAACACTTTTCACCTAAAAACAGTTTTGAAAAATAAGCAGTAGTTTACTTGTATCCAGTTTTGCACTAAAGCAACAAGATTTGACAGTTCTCGTGTCCAGATCTGTATTGGAGCCACAGTAAAGAGAACCTTGAACAGCCATGAGACTCCTTGCGTACACAGACTCGGTGAACACATGCTACAACATCTACACAGTCTGCCACTCAAATACATGCCAATATGAATTACTTTTTATTATTTCTAGTTTGTATCCTGTTTGACAAAAATAATTTATTAAAGATTCTGTCAGCACTGCAAAATGGATTAGAAAATGAATTCTCTCATTACTGTGATTATAACAGCTTTTCTTAAAAACATCAGTTTGAATAGGAGAAAAAACAAGAACGTTCCTTCTGTAACAGCTGGTCAAAGCCCAAAGAGATGACTAACAAGGTTTTAGTCTGTTACCTGTAGCCACTCCACACAGGTGTTTTCCTACTCCAACCACAGGGAGTTTCTTCTCTTGGAGGAAGGGAACTTTATCTGAAAAGCAAAGATACATAGATCATTTTGTTGTAGGACATGACATTGCAAAGCAGACCTTTCCTTTAAACAGGTAAAAAACAGGGGGAAACAGAAGATGCAGTCTCAGACTGAAAACAGGAGGCAAGGTTTTATAGTGTAGGGTGTGTGAAAATGCCCAGTCTTGTTGAGTTGAGGGGGGGTCATTCATAACATCGTAATGGAGAATCACAGGGTCACTGACTACTAAATGGACTAAAAGAGAATGGTCATTAGCTTTTCTTAAGACTCTTATTACACAATGTTTTGTATTATTATTATTATTATTGATATTACAAAATGGATAACAATTACAACCTTCATTTCCGTTACCTCAAAGGTGGATTTATAGGATCAAAAGTGAACGTTTTCAATTTTAGTGAAGTTGACTTGGACATGCAGTTTGTTAATTAAAGGGAAACTGCAATGCTATATTTATATTTCTTTTTGCGTAGAAAGAATTTGCATTGATGATGGCATTTCAAATCATAATGAAAATAAAAATTACACAGTAACTTGTAAAACTTCCAATTTACATTAAAAAATGGACAAAATGTCCAGGTATGCGCAGCACCATATTGTCAGCTGTACAGAACAAGACAACAAACTTCCAGTGAGGTGAATTGGATCTATTACATTTTAAACAAGCAGGCTTGTGATGCATCTCTTTAATCCAATAGAAATACTGCTCTTGACTTAGAAACCGTCTTTGCTGACAAATACTACTTGTTAGTAGTAGACTAGAGAACTCTTGGCAACATGGCAACTATACAGTAGTTTTACAAAGCTCACAAGTTTGTCCAAGTCAGAATTTCACAAATTTTGAGATATTGTCAACCAATTTATTTTGTTACTAAGATTTAATAACCCATCTGAGAAATTGGGACTGCAGTTTCCCTTTAGTGACTGGACACTCCAATCTGTAAAATCAACTTACTTAGACACAGGTGCTGAATGTCCACTTGAAGCCTATCAAACACGGAGTGAGGGCTTTTGTGCTTCCCATCAACCTGCAAACCCAACCATAAAATCTCTCAGCAAAATGCCAGATATGTTTCAGCTGAGTAAAAGACACACTGACCTGCCACACAAGGACTGAGTAATTTAGGGGATGTGTTTTAGTCAGTTTGCACTGTGCTGAAGTATTGAAAAGCCTGAGTGTTTCCCCAAGCAAGAATCACAAACAGCACACCTTAAAGCGAGTGGTAGCCCTCTCTACCAACAGAAAATGGACATTTTTGGCTGCTTGCAAAGCGATGTCAATCCAGTGGGATAGTTTGCCTTTCCCTGCACCAAATTCCACAAAGCATCTGTCTGGACCCAGCAACCTCAAAGATTCCAGGTTACCTAGGAGAGACGCCTGCAAAATAAACATTTGTTGTTTACACTGCACAGTTAAAAGGACTTCTACAATGCACATTCTTTACTGGCTTAAACATTCTCAACAAAAAGAGTTACAAACCAACACTATATTCCTCATTCACTCAAGAAACTCATAATCATTCTGACACCCGACTTGAGTACAGTTCTCTGTTCTAGGAAAGTCAGAGAATCTGACATGCAGTGAGATTCAGATGATACTCTTTTACCTATCCATCCATTTTCTAAACACTTCATCCAATTTATGATTGCGTGGGAGCCAAAGCCTATTGTGGCAAGCAACGGTTGCAAGGCAGGATACACTCTGGATGGGACACCACTCCATCACAGGGAACAAACAGACACAGACAAACACACACATCAGGGAACAATTTTCCTAAAAGTCATTTAACCTACCAATATCTTTGTGAGGAAACCAGAGCACCTATGGAAAAGCTATGCAAATAAGGGAAAACATACAAACTTCAAGCAGAAAGCACCACAGGTCTGGAATTGAATCCAAGGCCCCATCACTGCAAGGCAGGAATGCTAACCACTGCAAATCTGTGCCACTTTTGTCTAACATCTGTTTGTGGAATTGATTTTTTCCGAGAGGATCTTCGTATAGGGGATGAGAAGGTTTTAAATGTCTTTGGTCTTACAATGGGAAGACGCCTCTATAGGGATATGGCTGTTCAAGAGTTATCCTTCATTTGCTCTCTATACTGTACCCTTACCTTCAACTCATGTTTCTTTGTACTATGCAGATCGCCCTGGATACAGGCGTTTGCTAAACAAATGGATGCTCTGACATTTGAATAATTTTTTTCATTCACACAAACTAAACTTTAATTTTCAAGTCAAGTGTCAAGATAATCCTGAGACACTTAAAATAATGTTCATCAATTGCCACCTATACTGTATTTGCAAAGCACAGAAATTACCACACAGAACCATCAAAGTGCAGAAGAAAATAATCCACACCTGTTGTTTGAGGTGTTTCACTGCAAAGTCTCCATTCTTTGGATCGTTCAGAGCTTCAAGCAAAGCAGGGTGAGAAAGAATCTTTTCTGTATGCTTACAGTTTATCTCTGAAAGATCATGTGCAAAAACAGATTCAATATTATGAATCACATAAAAGTTCTCTGTAATTCGAATAGCTGTGTTTTACAAAAGACAAAGAAGTATTGTTCAGGAGAATCCCAGAAACCCACTAGTTTCTGAATGCATGACTGCTGGATAGGTGCAGTGAATTAGATGTGCATTGGTATAGCACGTACAATAAGCAAGTGCTGATGTAGTCCCACATTTTATGTTCAATTTGTTTATCTGTTTTGCAGAGAAAAGAAAGTATAGTATATGGTACCATATACAATAATGACCAAATGTGAACAATCATCATGGCATGAAAGACTTGGTACCTAAACAAACTGTGTAAATACAACAATAATATAACATAGAAACGGGAATAAATTAGTAGAAAAAAGGAAGCCAAACATTTGGAAAAGATAAGCAAAGGAAAAAGAGAAAAGAAAGAAAAAAAGTTAGGGAAAGAACAGAAGGGAGAAGCCACAGTTTTCAAGATCTTTCATATGTCTGGGTCAAGCTGCAAGTTCTTGAACAATCTTAAAAAGAGCTGCAAGGCAAGTAAATAAACTTATATTATAAATATATAATAAAAGTTTGCAATTGAAGCACAGAGGGAAGAAAATGTTACACTGCCTGATTTTTAACATTTTTACAACAAAAGACACAGTAATATGCCTAAAACCTTCTCCTGTCAATATGCTGTAAGACATAAATAAGAAAATAATGTGGAGTGTGAATATGTTGGAAGCAGGGCTTGGATAACTAACACCCAATCTGTACTGTAAGCTAAAATAGTCAAAACTACTACACAGACACTGCAACATCTATTTACAGTGAATGATATTAGTCCTGCAGACTGTGGTGGTGAAGTGCTCACATTTCCTCCTACTACAATATATTGGGACTCACCACCGACTGCTGCTCTCAGCCTCATGATAAGAGAGTCTAGCTCTTCGCTGGATCGAGAGGACAAGGCTATCTAAAAAAATGGACCAGAAAGGTACTGAAAGACATTTCCTTGAAATACATATCTAATCCAACATCTGATTGGCATTAGGTGTTTTACCTCTTTTTCATGCATATCCATATCCTCTTCCACACCAGCGTTAATGTCGTGGACATAGTACACCTAGAGCAGCAGAAATAACAAATGTTACAACAACCCACGCAACAGTCTAGTGGCAAAAAGGACCTCTGGCACAATATAGACACTTCTAGCCTTTTCACCCAGATTCACTAGGAATTAGCCTTTTCCATCACGCAAATTAAATACTAAGCGATTCAAGTATTTGTAGTAATCATTTTATATGAATGCAATACTCCTAGAAGATGTTCCTACTGTGTCAAATATTCATACTCGGAAAGGGCATCATAGTTTTATTGCACATGGTAGCACCTCTTCTTTCAAACCTATTACCACCAATCAGACTAATCACTTACAGGTTTGGGCTTCTCTCTGGAATTGCACTTTTTAAGATGCTTTGCCAGGTTATCTTCAAATACAGTGCTGGAAAATCAAAGAAAAAAGCTGTGAAAAGCAAAACTAACCATTAAAGTGAATAGTCTTGTCTCTGCTAACTGACATTCTACAAAAAATAAGAAAGTGTTGTTCTATTCTATTTTTTTCTTTTTAATTTAGATTAACCTACTTTCTGTGAGTGCAAGTTACTTAGTGACTGCTGTCACCAAACTTAAATGTGTCACCAACTCAACAATGATGTACCACTGTTTCTGGTCCTGCTCCCATTAAAATAAACTTGAATTTGTGCATCTGCTAAAAGAGACATTCATTTTGCGAGACGTCCGGTAGCGATACATGGATTCTACCTCTTCAAAAGAATACCGTACTAGATAATTTAAAAAGGCTACCATAAATATTCATTTATTTTAATCACCAGTCATAAACGTAAAAGCTTGAAGTAAATGGGCTAATTTCTGTAACACTCTGCTAACCTATTCGTCTAAAAAGAGTTTAAGGTACAGGTCTACTGCCCACTGACTGTTACCCTTGTATACTGCTCTGGGAAAGCTTAATAACTTACTGTTTCGGATCCAAAGGACATGGAATTCTTTTTCTGCCATCTTCCTTCTCCTATAAAAAATAAATTCAAACAAATGTTCTGCCCTTGCCCAATGTAGGAAAACAACACACATCAAAGTGTGCTGACATAATCCCAAATCATACAAAGACACTGACTACTTAAGATATGATACTTAATAAATTGCATTTAATAGTTGATCTTTTTTTTATTTAGCTAAACGACATACACATTTCTCCAAATAAAACATTTTCTGCAATACGACATTATGGCTCAAGAACTGCTTATGGACATATGAATACAACTCCTGTTAATGTGGAACAAAAGTAAAACATGCTTGGAAATAACACATGGTTTGTATTTGAATAGCTGAAAGTCAAAATCGTGAACCGGGGTCTGTCCGTTACAAATCTGTCAAAGCATGTTTGCTTGCCAAAGAGAACTGTTCAACCTACGGCAATTGCATGCTCCCCACAGAAAGTTTTTCCACTCGCAACAACCATTTTGCAATATCTCTTCTTTTTGTCTACGAAAAAGCCACATCGCCCAGGCAGAGGCGCAGACACACCATCCCCACAGCTTTCCGACATCTTTCATGCAGCGAAAGTGCCGATTCTACCACTCCCTTAATATCAAACGATTTTTCAATTAAACAGCTTATTTTAATAGCATGACATATTCTATAAGTAATTTCATTTGTATAATTAAAATTAGATCTACTGCGAGGTTTAACTGTAAGACACATAAACTACAAAAAGAAGCACCCACAACTCCCCGCAATTTGAGCCGAGTTAGTACTGCCCGCCTGACGTCACAGCTCAGTTGCTGGTACTGCTTAATCTCCTTGATCTATTTGATGTTTATGATGTTTTAATAAAGTTTGGAACCAAAAATAATAATAAAAAAATCTCCTTGATCTGGCGTTTTTACAGACCGTGCTGCATCGGATTAATTTGGTCACCCCAAACAGATGTGCAGTCAGGCGTAACATTAAAAGTACATCCAAAATAGCTTTACAAGTAAATACATTCTATACATTTGTTATACAATATACGTCATTCAACATATTACCAACATCTTTAGTGACAGATATTGTCTTGGGCTGGACTGCTGTAACACATCAATTTCCCTACGGGATTAATAAAGTATTATCTATCTATAGGTCTGACACCTAAATCACATTTTTCCAACATCAAAAACAAAATATTAGGTAAAACGAGCCACCTAATTTCAGATCACTCTCACTTCAATTATGTTTTACAAAACAGAAAAACGATTTCAGAACTTTATATCGGTTCAATCTGTCTGTGAAAACTGGGTAACTATTTCTGTAAAATGATTGACAACTTCTTAAAAATGAAAGACCGAAATATAAGAACAGCTTCGGTTTGCACCTTTTGTTGTTTCCATTTAAATCAGGAATGTTTTGACTTTTCATCTATCCGAAGGCTAGCAATGTATTTATTGCACATTTGTTCTGTGACCAAAAGGCATGTACTGTACATTTTATGTGGATATCCCATGTAGTAAAACGTAAAGCTAAAATACTTAACTATGCGAAAGGGTGGTGTTCCTCAGTAATTTATTATTTTACATACCTTTAGATCATAGAACATTTTAGCATACAATGCATATGCTAAAATAGATACGGAAAATGTCATTACGTACTTGAATTTCGTATGCTAAACGCTAGAGCGCCCATTTCAATCAAACGAGGCTCAGAGATCGCTGACTGAGAGACACGACCAGCCAGCGAATTTCGTGCTACTGGAGCTTGCTGTAACTTTGTCCTCGGAGAGAGCTTCCTCGAAAGTCACTTCCGGTCCCCGTGTTACCTGCGTCCCTCCCGCCCAGAATCTGTTGGCTACAGTTACGGCTACTGGATGCACGCGCATTCTTCACAGAAAAGTGTGCGGTTGCTAAGATCACCATGACAACAGTCCGCGCTCCTCCCCAGTAGAAGGAGAACGCTTCCGGTTTCCGCTTTCATGCTGTAACGGCTATCCGCGCGTCCGAAGCGCCAAACTTAAACTTTAAACTTGGCATGAATATTACATTATAATTGTTAATATTACCTTTAATTAAAAAAAAAAACGTTTTTTTAACTTATTGCAATAGGAATATGAACCAGCCATGATGGAATTACTTTTCGACCAGAAGTTGCAAGTCCAGGTGAAGTGCAAAGACTGTGAGGACAGGTACGATTCCGGCATTGTCTGGTGACTGGCGTTCAACTAGGCTGTGGTGCTGTGGTCAGATTGAGGCTTTTCACTGTAGTGATCGAGACGTTTCGTTCAACCCTATGCATGTTCAACTGCTTTACTAATCCTTTTTTAAAATGGCTTTTCACAGCCGGCGGTCGTATCCGTAACAGTACGTGCTTCATCTGTCTGATCTGAGTCCCGCCTCTGTGGTTGTTCGTGTGTATAGAGAGCAGCCCGATTTTGATTAGAAATAAAAATATAGTTGAGCTGAAGCCACAAGTTTATACCGAAGGAAATATGGAAGAATGTACATCTTTGCCCTCCCTCCAAGACCTCACGCGAACACGCGCGTGCATGCTTGTGCTGTGAGCACCGAGAGCGGGTCCAGAGGTATTCCAAACGCTTTATTGTAAATTCGGATATTTACAATAAAAACGCAGTTTATTTCGTACATTTTTTGTTTCGTTAAAGCAGTCTGAAACCGTCACACGTATCATCAGATATTGTACAGTGTTACAGCAACGATGTTACCATGTCTGCTGGGTATTCAAAGGTGAAGTAATTCCATAAGTAATTATTTCACACGTCCCATTAAAACGTGCTAATCGCACTACATATCCGCAGCATAGCACATTGTTTCTGTGTGATCCATCTCAGGTGTAAAGTGAACACTTCTGGTTTCGCACGGGATTAAAACACTGAAGCTTGCTGCTACAAAAACATAGTATTCCCGAGTAACCAGATGGGAATAGGTGAACTTTTGCGAATGCTTGCGTTTATATTCGGAGATTAAATACTATTAGAACAAATCTTATTAAAATGCTGATGTTGCTTCTTCTGTTATTGTATGTTGTGTGTCCTATGCCTGTGCAAAACGGGCTCCTTACACATATTTAAGAGAATATTCTACAGGTATCCAAATCATTATGTACCATAATTTCAGTGTTATTTCTACAAATAACAGTGTTACTGAACATTTGAGCTGTAGTTTAATTATTTTAGGAACCCAATAAAACTCATCCTGGAAGAGTGAAACTACTGTACAGTATATTGAGCTACAAGACAAAGGTCTCTTAGACAGCAACTGTGTATCTTTAATGAAACAAGTAATAGGTTTATTCCATGCTGAAGAGAGAAAACAACGTTTCGGCTGTGAAGTCTTCTTCAGGTGCGCACTTTAGGTGTACAGACTACGCATGCTGACCCAGCTACCCACCTGAACTACGTGTATCTTTAATTGCAGGAGGACCAGTATCCGAATCAGTATTGAGCTGCAGTCAACATCAAGTCCAGTGCACAAAAGAGTGAGTTTTAAATAACATTATATTTCCCATAGACATCAAGAAACAATAATCATCCTCTCTTTCTGCTTTTCAAGGGCCTTTGTGTGAAAGGGTTTAAAATGTAGATATAGTGGTGCCAAATGGTAGTGAGAGTCTAGAGCTCGCTACCCAGTCATGTTGTTGAAGCTACTGCCCTGGTTTCTTTAGAAAAACAGCTGGATAAGATCCTTGGATCGGTTAGCTAGTAATTACCGAACAGGCTAGCCAAATGGCCTCCTCTAGGTTGTAACCCCTATGTCCTTTCTGTGATCAGTGAAACGTCTTCATGGTAGGAAAGGGGTGCGTTTAACACAGAAACAAGTCATAGTTTTACAAGATGTCTTGCCTTTCGAGCAGGAGTCTGATAGGAGTCAGTTGCTGTTGCAAAGAACAACAGATAAAGTCTGATGAGAAATGGAAGTCTATTATTTTATCCTTTATTTTGTCCTTTAATTCCTGTTTTTTTGTTTCCAGGATCTGGCAGTACGGTTGACAGATGATGCTGACGCATATTTCCTTTACAACCTTGTTATATCAGAAGAAGATTTCCAAAGGTTTGTTGTATTATCAAAGTCTTCATAGTGTAGGACTTCACTGATCTGCTTCACTCTTCACTCTTCTGGTGGTGGTTGTGGAAAAATTGGCATTCAGTGTGACAGGAGAAAATAATGGACTGACCGAACAGAATGTGTAGAATTGAGATAATTTCAACATTATTTTTTTTTAATGGAAAAACTAAGTAATACATAACAAAACATTTCATTTTAAAACAAAGTTCTGTTTAATATAAAATGTTTTTTTCTGTCTATTGCCTGTAAGTATGATGTAGCCACAACAGTATTTATTGCTCAATATCCTGTAGTGTGCCTCTCTAAATTGGTAGTTTTCACAGGTTAGATTGTTAATGTTTGTGTTTAGCTAAACACATTGTCAATAAAACCAATAATTTTCTTTCTTAATTTATAGTTTAAAAGTACAACAGGGCCTGCTCGTAGAGTTTTCAGCCTTCCCACAGAAGTTCATAGACCTGCTGAATCAGTGTATCGAAGAACAGGACAAAGACAACCCGAGGTGACTGTCCAGTCTCTTTTCTCATTAATAAAATAGTTCCGCTGAGAGTGTATGAACAGGAACAGGATATATCAGACCTCAGAATATATCAGATATCAAGCTATCTTATTACAGTATCATGTCTTTTGCAAGATGACTCTCATACCATCTTTTTAAACATAATTCTTTCCAGCAAGGGTATGAAATCAAAACATAAGCTTAGTCTTATAGTCCAAGAGTGTGAAACCAGCAAATGTGAAAAAGCTGCAAACTATTCTGATAATTTTCAAGTGTACTGGTACCACATATCTGTTGTTTGGATGGTATATTTAATATTGCACAACGTAAATGTTTTACACATTTCTATTGTTTTGTTTCTCAAACTAGGTTTTTACTGCAGTTGGTATCTTCATCACCAGTATTAGACAACAGTTGTGCCAGTTTAAACATTGTGGAGACAAATGCCTTTAAACACCTCACACACCTCTGTCTTAAACTCATACATGGCACAGATGTAGAAATAAAGAAGTATCTGGCAACCTGTTTATCCTGTCTAAAGGTATGTTCATTTATATTAGATTAATTAATTATTAATAGTATTCAAGAATCAGACAAAAATTAAGTCAATTCACAGAAGAGGAGAGGGACCTGTGTTACCCATGTGTTTTGAGGAAGTAGCAAAATGTTCTGTATAAATTGAATACTTTCTGTCAGAGCATTATCAGTGGTCATTTGATACTGTAAATTTTATAAAAAGTGATTATTTTGTCTCATTGTCTAAACCTGTTCATGGACAACTTTTTTCGGAAAAGCTCACAGGGTTTCACTGATGCTGAGGGCTCTAAACAGTTTTATTTAAACAGACAGGAGGTCACATGGGCATTGTACCAACAAGCTTTAAAGGCTCTGACAAAGTTAAGTTTCAGCTTCAGAATTGGCAGCAAAACACAAATCAGAGAACACAACTGAAACAATGTGGAAAAAATCTAAATCTGAGAACAGGAGGCATAGCTTTATGAAATGGCTTGTGGGAGTATGGAACAAGCTACCCAGCCTTGTTGTTGAAGCCCACACAGTATGCTGACTTCTGTCATGTAATGGCTGGATGAAATCCTTGGATCAGTTATTTAGTAAATTGACTACATGGTCCAAATCATTAAATTTCGTTTGAAATCATTTTAAGTTCTTACTTGAAAAATACTGTTTCTTTAACTCAACAGGAGGAAAAACAGTTGTTGGAACAGAAGCTTAAGAGAACTGAGGAAGATCTCTCCAGGCAACTTAGCTATACACAGCAGGTAGCTGTTGATTTGATTGTTTAAATGTTTTAAACATTGCAGTGTTCTAATTAGGGGAGAACAAAAATAATGTAATATGAATTTTGACAATTGACAGATAATCATTCAACTAGGAAATATAGCTGTTATTGTACTTGCACAATTGCAAGTGGTTAGCTTGCTGCCTGGAACTGTGCGTGTTTAAAAAGAAAGTCAGAAGGCTTATAAACATTTCCTTCGATCAGGCAAATATTTTGTTTCACAAAAATATCTATGGTGAATAAAAAATATGATATTAGAAGTCTTAATTTGTTTAACAATTGTCATTTTTAATAATACTCAATAATATTTGTTGAGTTTATCTGACCAAAAAGTTTGTCCAATCTCCTGCAGTCTAAGTTGTATAACCTCAAGTAAACACCCTTCCATGTTAAGGAGGGAGTAAAAAGCTGCAGTTGATGCGATTTATAGTTATGTATATAAATTAGTTCTTTGTTCAGTCACAGTGCTACAATAGACAGAACTGTCTTACAACTTGTTCTGTAAGTTTGCACATACTTAAAGGTACGTAAGACTGTTCTACTGCCCTTAGAAGGGCTTATAAGCATTAAACGCCTAACTCTGACCAGTGACACTGATATTTTAAAGTTAACTTACCACCAAGGTTAAGGTGGGAGCTGGAGTTGAATTGAATTGTATGACCTATTGGCTGAGGTCTTCTTGCGTTTTGTGCACAGATATCCATTGGTTAATTCTAAAGTTAAATCCTTTATGTCTGTCTTAATGTGAATTTACCTTATCTGTTGGTTATTTTAATATGTGTTATTGGTAAATTGAGAGCTCTGTAAATCCCTCTTACAGTTTATCGCAGTTATCAATGCCTTTCTTCACAAATAATTGTTTAAGATCTGAACCCACTAGTTACAATTCCAGAGCCCTAACCACTCCCTAATACTCTGTTCAGCGTAGTGTTAAGGCTTTTGAACCAGCATGGCTATAAACATGATCCAGGTACTTATGGAAAACAAATGGTTTCTTATCCTCTCCAATCAGACTTTGTCAGAAAAGAGCAGAGAACTGGACAGGATAAGGAGTGAATGGACATCCCAAACAGCAGCCCTGACCAACCAACACTCCCAGGAGCTGACCACAGAGAGGGAGAAAACACTTGAGGTACAGAAACTCAAGAATTACTTTCACCTTACTTTCACTAGGGCTGGATAAATTCTTGTTTGGAAAAATGTTATAGTCAAATGGCTTACAGCACTGCATCAGTTATTATGAAACAGAGCTAAATATATTTTACTTTGCAGTTCATTTCACAAATGAACTTCTGTTTTGAAATCCAGCTTGATAAATTTAACTTACAAAATTATAGAACTGCAATAAATAGCACAAATTACCCAATCAAAAGTTTGTAAATCTAAACCACTGAGTCAGCTGTCTTGTTAGCAAAAAGGCAATGAGTCAGATTGTAGAGATCATAATGATGAGTGTGATCAGGCTCACCTATAACCTATCTCATAGCACAATAAAATAATGCTTTTTAATAGTGCATGTTATAATGCATCAGAATCCCAAAGAACTACGTTATTTTGTTGTTTTGTAGTACAGAACTAGCATTTAGAGGAATGTGTGAAATGGGATTTATTGTGGTAGACAAAGTCTATTACTTAATTTAAGCTACTTTTTATCTGATTGATTATCATTTAATATTTATCAGTGTGAGTTTAAAATGTTAAAGCAGTCTAGCAAAAAAGTATTTTCTGTTCCTTGATCCAGAGTAATTTTGCTTAGGATAAGAAGTTTGTAGTTATTAATGAATTACTCCTATAATTATTAAATCATATGACTCTTTGAACCTATTAGGCTACAGAAATAATTAACAAGCAGTTAAATTGATTTTTTAATTTATGTTCTGGGTTTGGAAGTGTCACAGTTTTGAACCATGTAATACATCTTAACATAAATCAAGTTTGTGCATGTTTTACAGATGACTAATCTTTATATTTATATACATTTTATACATAGTTTTTATAGACCTTTGAGACTTTGGGTCATTTAAGTATTTTGATTAAGTTGTGCTTTATTGGTTCAAATATTTTACTTGGCATTGGAATTATTAAAAATCCCACACAGTGCCTAAGAATTGGTCAGATGTGTTTCACAATCTGTGTTACAAAAGAAGTTCCTCGGGGTTCTGTATTGGACCCTACTTTTTTCCAACTACATCAACAGTGTTGTTCAAGGTATTGTGATAAATGACACTTTTTTGCTCCTGTCTGACCGTCTATGATAGTGTGGTTACTCCAATTGGCATTTACTCTCCTGTAAGGCACTGTGAAGCTCACAGCATGTTGAAACATCAATTGGTTTGATACCGGGGCAGATCAGATAACTTTGCTTGTAAATCCAGTACAACAGGATGAGTCTTAAATAATTGCTGGTTGTAAATTATTTAAAAACATTAAAATACATTAAAATCATCTGTAAGAGTTCAGATTAAAAATGAATAGGAATGTAAGAAAAAGTTACTCCTCGCAAAGCTTATTACTGTGAAATGAGAATTTCTCAGGCAATGAGCTACTGTATGTACACAGTTACTAAAGATTAGCATTCTTTTTTAGGAGTTTTTGTTCTTTGACATTTTCTGCTCAATTAAGTGTCTCTGGTTTGTACTCTGTGTACCACTGTCCAGGCCCAGATGAAATACCAGCAGCAGTCTGAGCAGCAACGCAGAGAGTTGGAAAGTCTGCATCAGAAAAGCATCCAGCAGCTCCAATGCAGGCTGGCAGAGCTGGAGGTCTCTAACAAAGATCTGATGGAGAGGAAATATAAATCAGAATCTGCCATCAGGGACCTTAAAGCCAAGCTGGTGGGGCTGGAAGATGTAAGAGGAACGCATTTATGCACACTTGACTTGTTAGACTTTGTTTAAAATTAGGGCTTCACATAATTGGTAGCCAGGATAGGTTTTGAATAGATGCCTTATTTTACGTAATAAAAGTTTTACGTCTCATTCGAAGGACAATGCCTTTTTATAGTGTAGTGTTTCCATCACTATATTGGGGTATTAGGACCCGCGCACACTGCGGGGTGAGTGCCCCTACAGGCCCCACTAACACCTCTTCCAACAGCAACCTTAGCTTTTCCAGAAGGTCTCCCATCCAAGTACAGGCCAGGCTAACACCTGCTTAACAGTGGGTTGCCAGTTGTGAGTTGCAGGGTGATATAGCTTTTGTCAGGGTCCTCTCACTTTTGTGAAAATACTGTGATTTTGTTTTCTCACACTTTTCTGTATTTTCTGTCTGCTGACTGCAGGAGTCCCACAGAGCAAAGCAGGAGGTGTTATCTTTAAGGAGAGAGAACAGCACACTGGACTCGGAGTGCCATGAAAAGGAGAAGCAAGTGAACCAGCTGCAGACCCGAGTAGCTGTTCTAGAGCAGGAGATCAAAGACAAAGACCAGCTGGTGCTTCGAACTAAAGAAGTGTTGGAAGCAACTCAGCAGCAAAAGGTGACCTTTAATCCTAACAGTGATGTCATATTAACTAAAATGATCGATTAAGCATTAGTGCTGGGAAAAATGACCAGATAATAAAACGGGATGTTTTTTTTTTAGTATTCAAACATGAAATGTTAGTTTCTCAAAATTACAGTTGAATGATTATTGGTTTATCTGTGTTATGTGGGGATAAAAATTTCATGTAATATTATTACTCTAAGGAGACTCACTTTAGGTAAATTACAGAGTTTAGAAGTATTTGTTTTCATATTTTTCTGAGGCAATACATGCATTAAGTTTGATGAGCTTAATAGGTAGCAAACTATGAGTATTATTTAAGATAATAATAATAATAATTGTTTACACTTTATATATACTATAGCGCTTTTCTGGACAATCCACTCAAAGCGCTTTACAGGTAATGGGGACTCCCCTCCACCACCACCAATGTGCAGCATCCACCTGGATGATGCAACGGCAGCCATCCAGAACGCTCACCACACATCAGCTATCAGTGGGGAGGAGAGCAGAGTAATGTAGCCAATTCATAGATGGGGATTATTAGGAGGCCATGCTTGGTAAGGGCCAATGGGAAATTTGGCCAGGCCACCGGGGTTACACCCCTACTCTTTTCGAGAAATGCCCTGGGATTTTTAATGACTATAGAGAGTCAGGACCTCGGTTTTACGTCTTATCCAAAGGACGGCACCTGTTTACAGTATAGTGTCCCCGTCATCTGTAATCCAAGATGCTTTGCCAAACTTTTCCTGCTACCACTTTGAGATCTTGGGGTTTCCCAGGTTAGATTTTTTATTCTGCATGTAAATATACATTTTATATTTGGATTGATATTAGGAGATTAAGTTGGCCTGTTTTAGATTTTCCACTATTTCCTCCTGATAAACTCCTTGATTACATTGCCCTTGTGATTTGAGTCAATCGTGTGATGCATTGCCTTCAACACAAGCAGAAAAATGTTTCTGTAAACATCTGATTTTCTGATGTAGTCTTATTACATTGTAAAGAAGCAGGCTTGTGAATACATCTCTTTTAATACAATAGAAATATTGCTCCAAACTTCATGACCATTTTGCAAACAAATACTACTTGCTTACTCTGCATTTGGATTACTGTACGTTAGAACATTTCTTGGTGAAATGTCTGCTGTGTAACCTTAACTTATTGGCTCATATATTGCATTACATTGGTCATTATAGTGACTAGTGAACATGAAGGGCATGGTTTTTACAATTCTTGCAAACTCTCACTCTCACCCATGGCAAGATCAGCGGTTTGTGACAACATAGCGACCATATAGTATTTTTGAATTTGTACAATTTGTCAGTGCAGTCAATTAATTTATTTTGTTAACAAGATTTATTAATAAATATCTGACTATATGGTCAGATTGACTATTTAATAATAATGAGTAATAGTCCATACTAACTATTCCCTTTAGATCTTATTTCTTTAGAGATGGGTCCTCCAGTTTGTTTTTTTAAATTGATCTTGCCTACTTAGTAAACAAATTTCTGAACGGTTGTTTTTAAAGATGATCATTGAAGAAAATGCAGAAGAAAGACAACATCATATTGGGAAACTTGAAACAACACTGAAGTCTTTATCAGAGGAGTTAATAAAGGTTTGTGGTGGGCTTGTTTCTTATCTTTTCATGGTTATTTGTCCCAGATTTACATTCTTCTATAAGAGCTATTCAAGTCTCTAATATTATAGGATTTTATTACATTTTTCCTTCAGGCAAATGAAATCATTAAGAAATTACAAGATGATGTGAAGATGCTGGTGGGGAAGTTAAAACTGAAGAACTCAGTAACTGTGCAGCAGGAGAAAGTGCTGTCTGAGACAGAACAGCTCCTGCAGAAGGAACAGAGAGAGGTGCAGGAGGCACGGCAGGCATTGAAGCAGAGAGACGAAGAGGTGAGCAGGAATCCAAGCTAATGTAACACCTTAGATCTTAAGATCTTAAGAAAGTGGAGTGGAGGGGCATTCTGGGGATTGGCTAGTCCACAGCTAACAGTGGATGAAAGTCTCAGACTTTGATTGTAACCTGTGACGAGATGTTTTGAATGCTCTTTTTCTCCTGCCTATACCTTAGATGACCTGCAAGATGAATTGCCAGCTTAAAGGACTAACCTCTTTTATTTTTCAGGTATCAAAACTACAAGAGCAATTGGAAGCAACAGTTCAAAAACTAGCTGAAAGCAAAGAACTGCTAAAAACGAATGAAAATGGTATGTGCTCTGTTATATTTATATATAGCACAACATGCTGTTTTAGACAACATTTACACACTGTGCTATTGCTTCAGTTTATTCTGGCATTACTGCAACTGAAAGTTGTAGTTATGTAGATGACGTCAGTTAATCACTTTCTTGCATTACAGCAGTTAAAAATGTCTACAATGACTGCCTGTGATAAGGATTAAATTCTGCCCATCTAACCCATTTTGTGCAAGTAACTAGTCACTTACTGACGCAAGGTTTTCATTCAACTGTTTCCTGAAAGAAGAAAGAATATCAGGCTCAAAAACATGGCTGGGTAGCTTGTTTAATATTCTGAGCTTTTAACTTTATAGTTTAACATTCTGTTTACCTATTTTAATGCTTTCCCACACTGTGTATAAAAACATTTTTTTCATTAATATTTCCAGAATTTCTTCAAGCTCCTTATTTCCCAAGTTATATATATCGTTTGTTCTTGCTACCTGCATGTAAAATGCTGCATGTTTACATGTGGCGTAAACATCATCTGCCAGGTGTTTGCCCAGTCTTCAGTTTTATATATTTTTTATTATCCTTTGCAGTTACTTATAGTGTTTAGTAATCTTCTGCTATTTTGGTACCTGAAAA